AACTAAACATTAGAATAACTAATAAAAAGTCAACTGAACTGTTCTGTTAGTTGATCAAATATTATATATATATATATATATATATATATATATATATATATATATATATATATATATATATTGTCCATAGTTTATCTTTCAAAACTGATCAGTGTTGTGGAAATTCAGAATTTTTGTTTTTGCCATTTTGAATTTTAATTAGCACAGACATTTAAATCATCAGTTACAAACTTTTTACATTTTTTGCATACTTTTGTGTGATTGGCTAAAGTAAGCCAAACTCCTGCTTATGCCCCACCCAAGTAAAAGTTAAGTATTTTTTTAGTGAACCAAAAGAACTGTTTTGTATAAAATGTTATTAAAAAATGCTTTATACTTTCTCTTTTTTAATTTTTCCCTTCTTTCTTCCTTCCAGATTTTTTTCCTTTCCCCCTTTTCTTGTATGGATGTCTACTTGTGCAGATTAGGCATTAATTCATGTCAGGTATGTTGGTGAAAGGTATTCATTAGTAGAAAAATAGTTAGTACAAGTTCACGTCGACATTAATACAACATAGGTGTTTACCTCTAAAGTGGGTGTGATTCGGCCTTGATTGGCAATTGTTTATTTTTCTTCTTTTGAGAGAGACAGATTAAAAGTTAATGAACAAAGTTTTCATACATGTCTTGAATGTTTACCATGATGAATGATAGAATTGTAAACCAAATCAATAATCTAGTGGGTTCAATCCTCAATAGCAGCCTGTCTTAACTACAAATACAGATGAATCCATACATTACTATCACTGATAATGTTATGAAAAACAGTCATTTTTTTACCCCATGTAAAGCCACTAAGACACAAGGGGTTACTAGATGTGAAAGAATTAGAAAACAGAAACATTATGAAGAAGTGAGAACAATAAAAGTGTAATCAGGAAGACAGTAGATAACGATCGACATTGCTTTTAAATATTTGAAGATCAAAGTTGGCCAGAAAGCATGGAGCTGGGAGAGAGTTCCACAAGCAAGAAGTACATGAGAAGAAACTGTTGGCATAGAATTTATGGTTACATCTCGCAGCCATTTCAACTCTAAAATGATGAAACATTGTTGAAAATCTGGTAATGCACTTAAATTCATAAAGTCTAAGTACCATAATGAAGAGCTCATCTGAACAATTACCATGAAAGTATTTATAGAAAAGGCAGAGAGAAGCAATTTTATGGTGGTGGGAAAGTGACTGAAGCTGAGACGCCAGGTCAGGACCAATAATATTGCTGATCCTTCTTCAGATTTTATCAAGAATCTCTAAATATATAGCAGGAGCACCATACCATATGTTGCAGCAATATTCTAAGCATGCATAAATGGTAGATTTATAGATAGGTAAGATAGATTCTGGAGAGAAAAATTGTCTACCACAACACAGAGAACCAACTTCCTTAGAAGCTGGTCTAGCAATGGATCCACTTCATGTCAGCAGAGAATGTTATCCCAAGAAAGTGCAACAAGTTGCTCTCTTGAAGATTAGCATCAGCCATGCTGACAGAAGGCAGAAAGGGGTCTCTCAGATGATTAATAGAGAGTAGTTTTGTCTTAGAGGCATTAAAATTAAGAAGCCATTCCTTGCCCCAGTTAACAACAGACTGTAGCTTGTTTTTGAGATGAGCTGCCAATTTGACCTTATTGAACTGATCAGACTTAGTATCGAAACAAGAATAAAGGGTTGTGTCATCTGCATAGATACCAAGTTGAGAGCTGATGTCATCAGGAAGGTTGTTAATGAAAATTAAAAATAAAGTAGGACCAAAGACAGAGCCCTGGAGGGGGACACCTGCATTGGTACAGAAGCATCTAGAAGAGTAGCTGTTCAGGATGACTTTCATTGCCACACACTTTATTTAAAATGAACTGTAGGTTGTAATTTAAAGTCACAAATTAATTTCTTATAATGTAAAGTTGTTTATAACAATGACTATAAATTGCTACAATTTTTATATTCTCTACTTAATGTTTTCAGTCAGTTATTCTAATCTAAAAGACTGTCCCAAAATGATCACAGTAAGAGGCTTCCTTTCTGTTGATAATTTAAAATACAGTTTATATATGTAAAGTATCACTTGGAATGTAACAAATATTACAGAGACAGGTGAAGGTCTCTAAAGGATTATGTACTGTGGAAAACAACAAAAGTTAGGAAGCTGTGGAGAGCTATGAATGCCCATATCCCGAGGGATATAAAAACAGAGATCTTTTGGAATTACCTGCCTATCATAACTCACCAACAATATCGGAAAATTCTCCAATGTCCTTTGAGGTGTTAAATAGAAATGAATAATTAGCATCTGATTTTCTGACATGAGGAATTATTATTATTGTACATTGATCAATTCAGATTAATATTTTAATATTGGTTGTTACAACCACTGTGTTTCAACTACTGTATTGTTCAGTCTTGATTAAAGGTATATAATGAACTGGTGGTTGTGAGTTCAATCCCTAGTTCAGGAAGTTAAAGACATTTCAGTGAATAAACATTTTGGTTGTAAATTTTTAGTTTCCAAAGATGACAGACATTTGAAGAAATTCTGATTGTACAACTGAACTGTTAAATTATAGGCTATAAATAAATTTTTATATAATGAAGGAAATAAATACATGCCAAACAATTTAAAATCATTTTCAGCTTTAACAAAATACAAATTATTTTCATATCTAAGTTTTTCAATTCATAGCACTCCCATCCCAAATTGTGTGCCATCAGGTGCTTCATGGGTGCTAAATCTTGCTTAAAAACTGACTAGGAAGTGAGCAATAATATAAAATTGAATCTTTATCCTATAGTCTGGTGATACATGTTGCTATCAATTTTCCTTTAAAAGGGTCATGTCAAAAGGCTTTTTAATCTAAAAACTACAAATTCCTGTATATGGAGAGGATTTATCAGTAAAAAAATAAAACTAATTTTAAATGGATCAGATGACCTGACTGCCATGCATTCAGTCTAGAATACTTTATAAATCTATGATAATAAACTGAAAAGAAGAGTTGGTTTCAAACTGAGAAAGATGGCACTTCTATGAAGTGGTCAGTCTAGTGCTTGCATTATCCTTGGTTGCCCCAATATATTAATTAATCTTTATCTAATAATTTCTGCCATCAATTTTCTAATGCAGGGCAGTCACTCGGAGACATGAGGCATGTGGTGGGGTAGGGAATAATAGTGGAGATGAGAAACAATCAAAGATTAATTACAAGCCTTAGTGGCTGACTGAATTGACAGTTCAGTAGCTGCAATCCACTTAAAAGAATGTTGGGGACAAGGAGGTGCTAGTGGTGTGGTTGGGAGTGGAGATCAGAGTACTGGATAGTTGAAAGAAGATAAGAGGCATACACATATCAATTAAGGGGGATAAGGTTGGAATAACATTACAGAGAATTAAAAATAAAAATAAAAAAAACTGAAAAAGAAGCAAGATTAGTTTGAGTTTAGTGAGTTTTGATGTTAAGTAAAATTAAATAATGAAATCATTGCTAAACCGAAAAGTTCTCTTAGTCTAAAAAGAACTTAAAATTTGCTGTTGTATCAAGTCAAAAAACAAAACCATATGTGAAAAATTACGCAACATAATTAAGGAAAGAAGCAAATTAAGTAGATGAGATATTGCTTTGAAATGTGCATGTTAGTCTTAGTATTATTAATGTCTTGAGTTTGAATCTCACTGGATGCTTTATTAATGTGGCCTTATGCCAGGCTAATCTAAACTTGGTAAATATTTTACATACCTAAGTTTATATATGACAATAAGAGATGGGAGTAATGGTGAGCTATATGCCTATAAGAGATGGGAGTAATTCTGATTTATAAGAAATGGGAGCAATGGTGAGATATATACCTATAAGAGATAGTAGTAATTCTGATCTATATGACTATAAGAAATGGGAATAATGATGAGCTATATGACAATAAGATTTTGGAGTAATTCTGACTACTAGCAGTATAACCCATCTTCAACGGAGTGTTTCATTACTGGAACAGTTTAAGTTTAAAGTCAGCCCACCCGAAAATCAATATTAGTAACAACAATTTGGTGCAACTGAGGCACATCCCCAAAATGGGTTGCGGGGGTTAACAATTAGAATGTGGCGGGGGGGCTTGCATTTGCAAGGAAGGAACCTCTTCCATGGACCGTCATAATAATAATATTCGATAATTTTTTATTTATATTTTTTTTTTATAATTCTAATAATCTTTTGCATTAGATTTCAACTCTCTAAATTGATTGTACGCTGTTTTTTTACTGACATTAAATTTTGCCTTTGATATTTGCTCAAAGTGTAAAAAAAAAAAAAAAAAATCAATTTTTTCAATTTTCATCTCCAAGGTTGTAATTTTTTCCAGAGAATTTGGACTCAAAACCGGCACTGAAGAATTATCTATCAAACAAAAAAAAAATTTCATCGAAATTGGATGAAAACTGTGGAAACACATAAACAACATCCGATCACATACATACATACACACACACGCACACACATTTTGAGAATTATAGATAAGAAATGGGAGTAATGGTGAGCTATATGATGATAAAACATTGTGGTAATGACAAACTATATGAAAACATGGAGTTAGTGATAATCCATATGTCAATAAGACATGAGGATAATGACAAGCTATATGACAATAAGACATGGGAGCAATGATAAGCTATGATTGTAAGATATGGGTGTAATAACAAAAAAATAAGTAGTTTACTTGGGGGTCATAGGATGTTCTAGAGTGAAAAAAAAAAAAAGAGTTGGTTCTACCAATAAACCAGTACTGGATTTGTGTAATGCATAGCAAGCACCTGATACAAGAATATACACCCACAAAATGTATTAGCAATAAACGTTTTAGGATGCAAATGACTTTTCTAAGAATAACATTAACATGTTAATTACATGAAGTAACTTAAGAAAATGGAATTAGCAAGTGAGTCAGAAAAGACATTTTGAAGAAATATTGACTGACTTACCAATCAAAACCGAGAAGAAAAAATAATGAATTGGAATGTTGAGGATAGGAGATGCAATATTGAGGAACCAATTTGGAGACATTGGAAAAAGACGCAAGAATAGAAGGAAGTAGAAAAGACAATCCATATTAGCGTCAACCTGTAAAAACAAGATGAAAATACAATAATCATAAAGAATAGGTTATATAATATTCATTAGCTGTACAAAAAGAGTTGGACAGTGAACTGAAGTTATACAGAAGTTCTTACAGGCAAATACAGTTGATAAGAAATACATAATCAACCCTAGATTTAAAAATGTATTTTAAATATTTAGTTTGTTAGTACAAAAAATTACTAAAGCATGCAAGAGAAGGATACAGAGAATTAGTAAAATTAGTGATAATGAAAGTTTTAAGAATTTGCTTATATATACTGAGTTTAAATGAAGTTAATATTAATATGAAAATCATTAATAGATCAATATTGTTCAGCCTGTTGAATGTATTCTTATATTTTCTGTTCCTTCTTCAATTTTTTTTTTCTTTAAGAGGGTAAGATGGGAAACATTAATATATTCAATGAGGCAAATTTAATTTTACAGCAACAGGTACACCAAGTATCCAGTTCTTTGGGGAAAACTCCTAGTTATAATTTGGAAATATATAGGATTTTGTGTACCTCATAGTGCTGAAATGGATTAGCCCAGCATAAAGGTATAATTTGCAGTCGCTGTTTCATGTTTGCCATTTCAAGAATTCTTGGTATAGTGAGAAAATTTGGTCCAGGCGTTCAAACTGAATACCTTAGAGGCAATAAATATAATTTGTAAGATATGTATATATTATGTTGACTTTCTTGTATAAATAAATATCCTACTCTTAAATTACGTGTTTTTTTTTTTCGTTTTAATATTTTTCATTATTTGAATTCATTGTATGATTTAATACTATTGAATAATGATTTCTTTTGTTTATTAAGTATTAGATTAGCAGTACCAGGAGAATTTTATCATAATTATAATATCCATTATCAAAACACATTGATATAGTAAACAAATTTAAATCTTTCTATGGCTAAAAAATTACTAAATATAAAATATCAAAATTTTGACATAATTTAAATATTGTTTTCAAGATTGTTTCAAAATTTCTTTTTTAATATTCTTTTAAGTCAACCTTTTTATCTAATTATTACTAAAAAGAAAAATTGACAATTTAAACATCTTTTTTAAATAAAGATATTAAAAGTATTCACAATTTTAGATCAAGCATAAAACATGCCTATTTTCAAGAGAATTTAAAAAAAAAATGTATACTCATTTTTTAAAAATTATTTTGTTTTTACTTGATACCACTGTGCAACTGCACAGTGTATCTAAGACCCTTCCCAAAATCAATTATTCTTTGATGAATTGGTGACTGGATTGTGAAGTGTCCCTAACCCTAGACCTGTTTGCATATTAATGATCTTTTTTCCATCCACTCTATTTCAGGCATTTTCTTTTTGAAAAAAGTACTTGACAAGAGTTGAATTAATTTTTAACAGCAGCAATTATAAAAAGGTGTTTAATTGTCTGAACAATATGGAGTACAACTGTGATTATTACCTCATTTTGTCTTTCTTACTGCTAGAATTTAATGTGTGACTATATGATGCACTGACCATAAGTTTGAGGAATTTGAATAGGGAATACAAACTACATTACATGAATATTTTCATCCAAAACACACACACACATATATATATATATACATATATATATATATATACATACATACATACATATATATATATATATATATATATATATATATATATATATATATATATATGGTGCAATAGGTAAATTTTTGCCATTTTATATTTTTAAAATACAACACTTTCTGAATCTTTCACATTGTCCTCAATACTTTGAAAATGTTTGTATTGGAGCTTCCCAAGAAGTACAAAATGGTGTTTCCAAATTTCTAGCAGAGTGAATTGCCTCATGGTGCCTTTTTTCCACACAGACAGGGCCTAACTGACTCTTCTATGCAAAAAAAAAAAACAATTCGCATACGTGAAATTAAAAATATAAAATGGCAAAAAGTTACTTATTGCACCCTATATATATGTATGTATGTATGTATGTATGTAGTGATATCAGAAAATTCCCAGACTATATGTGCCTTGATTGTACTAGTGAGTAGAAATATCAACATTGCTAAAACTCATTAATACCTCAACTACTGAGTCAATCAGTCTGTCAATAGGCTCCAAGCTATCTATTCATGTTCCATTATTATGCAAGGTTTTTCAATGTTGAGTTGGAACACCTCTGTGATCTTTATGACGGACAAATTCAAAAATTTACATGCCTGTAGCAAATTTTGACTGAATCTTGGCAAATTTACTACCAAAACCCTCAAAATAATTCATCAGGCTTTTTGCGAACATTCTTTAGTTAAAAAACAGATTTTTGAGTGGTACTCACATTTCAAAAGCAGTCAAGAGTCAGTTTTAAAGTTATGAACATTTAGAGCAACCAATCATTATCAAAATGCAAGAAAATGTGGTAAAACTTCATCTTCTCATTTATATGAACCATCAGTTCTCTCACATAATTCGCATCTGTTATGGACACTACTTGAATATTATGGTCTGTGAATATTTTGATATCAGCTCATATTATAGATTTATGATTGATTATGTGAATGTGTATAAAGTAAAAGAAAAACAGAAGCATAATTTAATTTCAACATTTGGGACAGTTTTATGAAAGGAAACATCTTGATTGAAATTATGTCTAAATTTCCTTTTTTGTTATAGAGCCTAAGTCTTGGAATGGTGATTGCTCCATGGTCCCATTTTGATTGGATGAATTTCATCCATTCAGGTCATATCTTATTGATTAGAACGGACCAATCAATATTAGCTCTAAAATGGGTGTGATCATTGCAGTTACCTCTTCCATTATTTTATTGCCTACAGCTACTAAACAATCTATATTAATGGATAACACAGATTGTAGTAGCAATTTTAAGTAGCAATGTACTTAGATATCTGCAGGATCAAAGAAAATTAAATTTGATCACTTCTCAATATGATAGTTGATATATTCAAAGAGAGAAGAATCCAGAGTTTGTTTTCTTGGTACCTTCTAGCAATTATTAAATGAGAGGATTTTATAGCACTTAGGCCAATGTAAACTGATGCAGGTTTGCAACTTGCAGATTTTCTCAGTTCATGTCACAAAAAGTAATTCACTGAGATTTGTAACATTGTTTCCATACCCTAAACACAGTAAAGATTTTGAAAACATTGCTTAATTTGTCTAAAATTGGATAATTTTAAAGCAATAATAGATTAGTACATTTGGTAGATCTAATGCATTTAATAAAGTTTATGATTTGTGACTGAGAAAGCAGGATCATTGATTAAGTTTGATAGGCGAGATGCATAAATTTGACTAAAACAACATGCAAGAAAAGTCTGTTGTATCTGATGTTCATCTCTGTGTATTTCTAATTTCTCAAATTTAGAAAAGCAAGTGTAATATTGCACTTTAGACTTGCACCTGATAGGTTTTTAGATGCCACTTCTTGTGTGATTTACTGTGGCTAGATGTGGAAAAAGTAGCAGGATTGAAAAGTGACCCTAATGTCAAAAAAACTATGGATAATGAAAAACAAATTATTCTGGTATATTCATGTACTTCAATATTGAGACTAGACTTTGAGAAATAGAGAAAGTGAAGAATCTCAAATAGTGTTCCCTCCTTCAAGTTCTGACCTAGGAGGAATGACCTTAACTGACAAAACAGGAAATCATAAATCATAACTTCCAGCCGCCATTTGTCCAAGACCAAAATATATGATTTGAGAACGAGCAGGTCAGAATGTCACTCCCAAGTGCTTTGAGCTGTCATGTTATATTAAATCCAAGCTCATTTAATTAGAAAAATCATATATCACTACACAAGTGAACTGCCAGGATTTTAATTATCTTGCATATAAGCAGTTGCATAATATTCATTATCCTATAATGATTATGAGAAGGTAGTGAAAAGTTCTTAGCACAAACCACTTCCCAAAAACTGAACAAATATCAGAATTGAAAAAAAAAAAATTCCTTTCATACTGATTATATATATATATATATATATATATATATATATATATAAATAAAATACTTTAAACATTATTTTTAGTGAATACCATATTTGAATGGATGCCTGTTTTTCTACTAAAATTTTAATAAAAAAAAATGTTTGAAGTAATACAAATAAAACTATTAACTCTTTATAAATTGCTTAGTTTATGTTTTGGATACGAAATGAAGTAGATATGGGCATTCGAAAAAACCTGAATGAGACGATGTGCATTTCTTAAAAGGGTAAATAGAAGCTTGCAGGGAAGTGACGCTTTCCATGGCCAAACAGTCTAAAGCATACTGGATCAGTAGTTTCTGTTACAAAGGCGAGGATGCAAGTTCAATTCCTGCTGAAGTGCTCATTTTCTTTATTAAGTTTTCACTAGTGCACAAGCCGGCAGATATAATACAAACTGTATAAAAAAAAATGGAGCATCTCTTTAAATATGGGCATCCACTAAAAATGATGTTTGAAGTTTTAAAAATGTTGGATTAAAAATAAATCCATTAATTCTTTAGAATATGAAGGTAGGGATACTGGCTTAGACTGAGGAATTGGAGAGCTGAGTTCAAATTCTAGTTAAGTTCATTATATTCACTTACATTCTAATACCCAAGAGAAAGGTATGAATACATCTCTTCTCTCTTCCAGCTATGGGTAAATAACAGGACAAACTGGGTCCTATAGCCTTGGGTAGTAAATGGTCTAAGGGAAGGAAAAACTCTGAATTCAAAACCTGAGGAAGTTCATTTGGGGACATTGTGACAAGCTATGCACCAGTTGTCTATATTTGGCTCTTCCAAAAAGTGTGGTCAGTTCTGCAAACGCCTTTGCCATTATAATCAAATGATATGTATGAGTAGTCTGGCTGTTGGTTCTAAGAACTGAGCTGCTTGACCCTCATATTTTGAATATATATATATATATATATATATATATGAGAGAGAGTGAATGAGTGTGTGTGTGTGTGTGTGTGTGCGTTCAGATGATTAATGTGAATGTTTTGTTTTACTAATGGAGATTTTGTTCTTGTGAAATAAAATTACTTTTTGGATGATGTCATTTGACTATAAATGGGAAAGTAAATGTACCTTACCTTTTCTTGTAGGAATGCTAATCTATCCTTGAATTTTCGGATAACAATGGGTTTACCAAAATTTTTGGAAAGAAGATAACAATTGGTAGCCCCACATGCAGTCAAAATACTGGTAACTATGAAGCCAGCTCCAGCACCAAAGAGAGCACCTGCCAGCAGGTTCTGGAAAAGAGAAAATAATTGCCGAGTATAAAAAAGATACTAATGCAAAATTCAATAAATTCCAAAATTTTTTTTGTGTTCAACTAAATGAATTTCTGAAGTTATTCTCTTGAATTACAGAAAAGATTAAATTATAAAGTGAGAGAAAATGAACTTTGATTTTAATCAAACCAAATTTGGGATTTTGGTTTTTGGGAAAATGATTTTATTTCTTACAAGATAAAAATATAAGAAATAATGTATTTAAAACCAAAAAAAAACCCAGTTTGTCACAACTTCATAAGGGTCACTTGGAAAATAAGTTTGCCTTTAAAGGAGAAAAAGGAAGAATTTGGTTTTAACTTGAGAGGGGGAAGAAATTAAAGAATAATGAATGAAAAAAAAATAAACAAAAAAAACAGGCATGAGAAATATTTTGAGTATGAACAGCAAAGATTATTTGAGATATTCAAATTGGGTTAAAAGTAAACAAAAAAGTCTTAGAAATGTCCTAAAATTTAGTTTGACATTTCAATCAAAAAGAACAGATATTTTTATTTCTATGATAGTTTAAATGCTTTAAGTGTGGTCATAGCTTGTACTTCACCAAGATAGTAGTGAAAAAGTAGGAAATGCAAAAAATATTGAAAATTCACAAGAAATAAAATATATAATTTCTTTTTCTGAAACCAAAATTATTTTGTGATATTTGTGTTGTATTTTTGGAGTTTCATTAGTTCATTTCAATTTTTAAAATAATTTAAATATGCTTTGAGAGATTTCAACAAACAGACTTCAACCTCTAGATTTTAAATTTGTCCCAGTTCGCTCTATCTAATTTCAAACATCAGTCAGTTATATACCATGTGTGATAACACTCAGGCGATCATGTATCTTTTGATACATGATCTGACAAGGCAGATTTTTTCTGGCAGTAGGTTACTATTTTTTCTGCAGTAGACTAGTTGCCATCCAAGGCTATAGAACCCAGTCTGTCCTGCTATTTGCCTATAGCTGTAGGAGGGGGAGAAGAAGAGGATCCATACCTTTCCCAAGAGTATTGGCATGTAAGTAAATATAATGGATTCCTGGAATTCAAACTCGGCTCTCCGATTCCTCAATCTGAGCCGCTATCCATTACTCTACCATGCCTACATAAATCCATTTACAGGCAACTAATCTGCAATAGATTTATCCATATGTGATCCATCAATCCATATAAATTTCTCTTGGAAGGTTCTGGCAGATACATCCGGTAACGATCACTTGCCAGTTGTTCTGCAAAATTTAGAACATAATGATAAAAATACTCTATGTTTGAAGTTAGAAGGTATAATATTTGCCTTTATTTCATGGCAGTTCCATTGAATTATCTTACACATGACTGTTTAAACGTTTTCAGGCTTTACCTTATCTGGTTTTGATTTCTTTTTCTTATGTTTTCATTTTGGAGGTTTTAGCCTTTTGAGAGTTCTGACTTTTGACCACCATCTTTTCTTATTCATCAAATCGGTTTTTTTATAGAAATTTGGTTGTTGTGGATTTCCAGCTTTTGTTTGGCTGATTTTGTTCTTTTGGGAGATAAGCTTTTCAGTCTGTTTTTCCTGAGTTTTGATGGATGGGTAGGAGATCGCTATAACCTCTGTTTAGTAGGAGATTTGGTATTTTTAGTAGGAGTGGTTTGTATTTGAGCTGTCATTTTGCTATTTGTTTTTGCTTTATTATTTCAGTTCTTTCATTCAGCTTGCACCATATCCTTGGAATATAGACTTTTAAGGTAAGTTTGAATTGTTCCTAAGTGTACAAGTTTCTTAATGAAGATTCTACATTTGTCAGGCTAACTTATTTTTGTTATTTTTGCATAGGAAGGACCTTTCATGTAACGTTCTACTACTTGCTTCACTTCTGAAAATGAGAGGTTTCTTTTATATTTTACTTTGATAATCTCGTTTTTCCTTTTTCCAGAACATGTTCTCGAGTATGCTGGATGGCTTTCCTGGCAGTTAGCACATGTTATTTCATGACATTCTTCTTCAGAATGGTCTGAATCCCTTTGGCCATATGTTACACATGTTGAGCAATTTCTGCAGCTATCCTTATGATGTCCAAATTTTTGGCACCTAAAGCATCTTAGTAGAGCAGGAATATATTGTTCCACTAGCTCAATATTATACCCTATTTTTATTTTTTGGGGTGGGAGGATTTCAAGTGTACCAAAAGTAAGGACATATGTGTCAGTTATAACTGTTTCCCCATTTCTTTTAATTGAGATTCTATGGTAATTGCTGAACACTTGGCTTCTTAAGGCAGATGTAATTTCCTCAGATATGGCCAGAGACAACTCTTTACTTCTGACTCCCTTAGAATTATTAAGTTTTGCATGCAAGAAAGTTTTAATTTTTATATTAGGAAAGATCTTCACCTTTATTATATTTTCTGCGTTTTTCCTATTTTCCACCTCAATCAGCAAATTGCCATTTCTCAACTTTCTAAATGTTTTAGGATTAAGCCTACTGGATAGTACCTTTTCAATCAAAAAAGAGAAAAGTTTTGGCAGCAGTGTTGCTTCTAAGGATGTGAGAAAAAAAATCTTGGAAATTCCGTATTAATTTCTTTTTCAGAATCAGTGTCTGAAAGACATCTTTTGGGCTTTTTATTTTGATTATTCATAATTTTTGTGTATTAAGATTAACTAACTGCCCGTGCTCCCCAACCACTTTGAAGCCTGAAATTGGGATGTGTCAGGGGGAAACTGTAGCTTAAATAAGTCTGTATTGCTGCAACGTCACTTGTACAAATCACAATATCGCTGGTTCAATTCACCGTCCTCACTTTCTACACGCGTCACTATGTATAGCTAACGTTGCTATCCCCTTTTTCACTACTCCAGCACTCTTTTATCAGGCCAACACCGCGGTTCCCCAGCCAATCAGCGTTCTTTGCTGTTATTCTCGGTTACATAGGCAAATTGCCTCCTCCAGTTCGACCAATCAGCACATGACTTGCTATTGATTGAAGCATGCCAAACTGTATAAAAAAAACCTTCATCATTGCACATACTACTAGAATGGCTGGATGGGAGAGTAATGCCATTTTCATGAAGCAAATTTGCTGATGTCACGTGCCGCATGTTAAGGTAAGACCTTTATTTTCCTATACACCAGATGCAAGCCACTCTGGCTCGTTTGCTTCTACGGGGCTGTTCACCACAGAAACACAGCTTGACAGATATTCAAGAGAGACTCTGAGCACAAATTAAACCATTTGTTGCAGTTTCCAAATAAATGTACAGACTGGCATGTTCCCAGCCATGTCTAAGTCTAGATCTCTTCGAACTGGTTGATCCTCAGCCATCACATTCTAACACCTATAAATTGGATAGAGATGGTATTTTATCCTGGGGGTATTGTATCTAGTTATAAAATACTCCATAAACAGACATAGTTATAAGCACTAGGGCTTGTCATGACCAGCCAATTGATCAGATCAGATCTCTCTGACCACCTGTCTAGTCCAAGTAAGGGCCAAAGTGGTGTGTTGGGAATCCGAAGTAACTAACCCCGACTCCTGAATGCCTCAACCACCAGGATCCCATCCCCAGACATTACAGGTCATCACCCACAGCAAGCAGGTGGCCTCATTGGTGGTGGTGGTGGTGGTTAGGGGGATGTCTTACCCCTCTGCAGAAGTGCAGTTAGTATATTCTGAAGCCCCAGCCGACAGGGCAGTATTGAGAATGAATGCAAATCCTTTTGGCAAAATAAGGCTAATATATAAGATGCTACCCAAAAATCAAGAAATTTAAACAAATTGATCATTATCAAATCTATTTAATCTGTCCAATGTTTACTGTGTCTCATTGGTCATTTTACATATCTCTTAAAATCATACCACAAAGAAAAAAGAAAACTTCTGACAATTTCTTTTTTTGAGAAAACCATTTTGCACCTTAATACACCGAATACTTGGATAATACTTTGTATGTATAATAGCATCATAAAAGAGCAAAATTTAAAATTAGTAAATTGAAAACTTTTAAATGCCTAACTACAGTAATAATAAATTTTTCCACTACATAATTTGTTTCCAAAGACAAATCTTTTTTTTTTAGATTATAATATAAATGCATTGCAACGTTATTTTATTGCAATAATATAAGCAATTACAAAAATTTACAGTTGGAATTTACAAGCAAAATCTCGAATGTTTAAATATCAACAATATAGAACAATGTATCATTTTGATAAATTTCAAAGGCTCAAGGGAAATAACTCTCAATAGAGTTAATGCCCCTGAAAAATTCACGAAATGAGTTATTGCCCTTGAAAATTTTTTTTTTTTTGCAAGTATTTCAGCAGTAGACCAGAGATTGACATTTTTTGACTGAGATTCTTGTTTTTTTTTAATCATTTCACTCCAAGCAAGGCAATAAAGCCACTAAAATGCAAGGGGTTACTGAGTGTGAGAGAATATGAGAAAAAAATATTATTAAGGAGAAAGAACAATAAAGAAAACAGAAAATAACAATTGACATTGATGTTCAAAAATTTAAATGCAAAGTTGACTGGAAAGCAAGAAGCCAGAAGAAAGTTCCACATGCGAGAAGTGCGAGAGAAGATACTGTTAGCATAGAACTTACGGTTACATATGGCCATTTCAATTTGCTATGTACCAAAGAGGAAAGCTCATCAGAACAATTACCATGTAAATATTCATAGAAAAGGCACAGGAAAGTGACTGAAGCCAAGGTGCCAGGTCAGGACCAATAACATTGCAGATTCTTCTTTATATTTTATCAAGAATCTCTAACACATAATAGAAGCACCAGACCAAATATGACAGTATTATTCATAGCAGCAAACTAGATTGTAAATGGTATCTTGTTATTTCAGAATTAATACCAATCAATACTATAAAAGAGAAAATGCTGGGAAATATACAATTTAGACCAAACCATTATGATAAACATGATAACAATGTGTATAATTGAGTCAATTCTGTATTTTATAGATAGGGTTACTTTCCAATAATTTCTAGGACATTATTCAAAAGTTTCTGTTTTCAAAGTTTTGCTTGATCAGGACACAGGGAATGTTGGCATATTGTTAATGAAAAAAAGAAACTATGATTAAAACAATTAAAATGACTTACCAAAAACACAGATCCAGGAATTGCAAACGTTTGTTTATAGAGATAGGCGCTGCAGAAAAGGATGACAATGTAGCTTATATGGTCAGATTTGTACAAAGTAAGAGTGTTGACAAGAGTGCTTAACTCTTCCAGATTGGATGGAAATTTCAAGGGGCTGAAATAAAAAAACAGAAATTTTAAAACTAGGCAGATATAAAAATGTGTTTTTCTTCTTCTACTGAATTAAAATGAAACAAAGAGATATAATTTAGAGTTATATATCGTTCTGCATTTCATATTTTGAGGTGTTTTCAAACAATGTCAATTATTTACATATATTTATTATTTTGTAATACTTCACAGAGTTATAATTTTTAAATTTAAAATAAAAATATTGAATTCTTAAGAATTTCGTGTTGCAACCTTAAACATGGCTAAATGTTATATCTTATAGTCAAAACCATAAATTCCATTACTAAACCAGATCAAGTCAAGAGAATTTACAGCTCTAGATAGCCACCAACTTTTAAGTAGCATCATGTGTTTTCTCTCTTGAGATAACAATTTTAATTATATTATAGTATTTAATATGTCCATATTTCCCTAAATGAGTGCATTGTATAAAGCCTCATTTACTCTATAATCCAGATAAAGGCTGAAACCATAAAATATTGATATGACTATTCTTATCATTTGAAATCAATAATCTTCAGAACAAATATTTTTAATAACTGAATTTGCTATCCCTTCCACTTTTCAAAACAGTTCTCAAAGTTATCTTTTAGGATCACCATTAACTGCTTGATTGTATTCTCCTTAATCTCATCTATGGCATAGTAATTTTAGCTTTGGGTAAAGCCAGAAATCACAAGGAATCAAATCAAAACTCTAGGTAAGCTGACAGACTGGGGAAATGTTTTACCAAAAATTCCTGCATGAAACAAATTATCTAATTGCTTTCTGATTTGGTTATTATGAATGTGATGGTGCATTGGCATTTTTGTCATTTTGAAAGACCTATGAGCTTCCCAACCACATTGACTAAAGGTAAAATAAAACCATAATTTGCTTATTTACATTGAAAACTACAGTTATCAAATTTCTGTATGATATCTTCTTAAATATAAAATTAAAAAGTGACAAAAGTGGCAAAATCATGTTTGCATTATGAACGCTTAAGCAAAAAAAAAATTTTGTCTTATGATCTTCAGATATGAAAGAATATATGATAAAAATATGAACACTTTTTCACATGGTCAAATGAGGACATGAAAATAGGAAATTTTAAGGACATTTAAAAAAACAATAAAACATATTTCAGATAATGATTCTGACATTCCTACAGCAATTTCTAATAAATTTACTGCATACATAAAACTTAACATGTTTTAAATAAGAAAAAAAAACTTAGTGATGCTTAATATAAGCATACTATTTGAGTAAGAAGTTCTGAAATAGTGTACCATTTTTTATGTTTTGACTTTCAGCCATTTTCAGTGTAGTGTTGGAGGAAATGTACAAAGAATACCTTTGATCTGATTGCATTTTTTAAATTAATAGAAAATGTCAACCCTCATTGAGAATTTTAAAACTATAACATATCAAAGAAGAGATGAATATCAGACTTTAGATAAAAGGCTCGTTTGGCAAAAGACATAAAATTATGTAAAATTTTAGTTCTCCCCTTGTCAGATTCTCTTGCTAATAAATTATCATATGTTCTTAAATCAAATTTAACAATTACTGGATATACAGACTTAATTTTGAAGATTTCTACATTACTTTGGTTTAGGAACATATAAAAACTTATTAGCAGGAGAAGAATTTGATGGGCAGACCTGAGAGAACCGAGATTTGATATGGAATGACACACATATATATATATATATATATATATATATATATATATATATATATTACATATATATATATTACATACACATTTTAAACATTTTATTTAATCGAACAGGTCAAAGAATGTTTATTGAGCTTTTTGATGAATTTCTCCTGGTGTCAAATTAATCATTTCATCTCATGTACAAAACTTGGTGAAATTTAATATTTGAGAACTTTCAACCATCAGGTTTTTATATAAAAAATGTGTTTGTTTGCTATACATTCACAAACACTTTTATTTACAGCCCTTAAATTTGATGTGCATAATTACTGGACCTAAGGAAAAGATTTCAACTTTGTTTTTTATCATGGAGAAAAAGAGTTGCTCTACTTCTTTTTTGCCATATAGAAGTATATTTTGTGGTAAGAACATTTGTGTAAGATAAGTTTTAATAGTAGTGGATAGACTTGCTTATCATCTGGTTCACACACCTCCCTGGTCTTTCAAACAGGAGTAGAGCATCATCCCTTGTTCTCTTTTAGAATTGAGTTTCCAGTTTCTTCTAAAGCCTTCTCTTTCTCTTAGTATCCCCCTTGCATCTTAGTGGCATTATTGCCTTGCTTAGAGTGAATTGATTAAAAAACAAATGTTTAGAATTTTCTTTTATTATTTGTGTCTGAATATTTGTGTGCTTTGGTAAAGTAATTTTTACAGAATAATTTTTTTTTCACTAAAGTATTTTTTCTACTTTTGATAGAATTTATCTGTTGTAAATTTATCAGGAACAAATCAAGTCTATTTTGAGTTTATGTTACTACATCTTGTTATGCAGTTCCAACACATGACCAATGTTGCAGAAAATAAATCTTGAATAATAACAAAGATACTGTAAAGTTTTCATTTCCTACTTATCCATTACATTTATTTCACTTTAGTATTACAAATTATGTGCAACTAACTTTCAGGTCTATATATATTGCCAGCAATTTTGCATTATTTGATTTTAACATTCTTATCAAGTAAAATCAGAAGGTGTTGTCAAAGACCATCCTTCTTTGCACATAGACTAGTATTACAGAATCAGAAACCAAGAACTGTACCAAATAACAGAAAGTACATTATTTGAGGACTACCAAAAGCAGCAACAAATAAAATGGATAGCATAACTCAAAGAGAAAATAATGACATAATCAAGATGTTGACACACTACACTACTTCAAATAAAAGATTAGGAAGGAAACCCTCATTAATAGTGGAAATAGCAAAAACAGTGACTGAACTTGAGAAACCTATTTTCCTGAAAAATTGTTTTAAGAGTAAGATTTTATAAATTTCAAGCAAAAGAAGTACTGGCTGCTTGGTCAATGAATGCCAAATGTTTCCTTATAGGGAAACAGCTAATATAAGTATTACCAGTTCACTATTAGAGTACTAAGGAAATTTTCCGTCATTCTAACCAACTGTGATCTAAGTCTTGAACAGCTACCCATCTATGCTGGGTAGCTCAGCAAGAGTGTGTGTATATGCATACACATGCACCCTAGCAAAGTGATCTATTTACAAAACCACATCATAATTGGTTTTAAATCCACCTGCAGATAAAATAAGAAAAGTTAAAATTTACAGTTCACAGTTTTTTTAATGTTTTTTATTCTGTACAGTATCAATTATTTGACCTGAATTATATATTAAGAATTGGACAAAGTCCGACAATTTATTAAAGACATTTTTTATGTTTAACATTCTTTTTATAGATACAAGTATTTAAGTAAATGCTCTGTTTATAATAAACAGTATTAAATAACATTTACCGGTAACATTTACACTGACGTGCCTTAACCGACTCGGCCACAAAGGAGCGTTCGGTATGTACGAGATTCATGGAAGATTGAAGTTTATAAGCAGTAAATTCAACCTTGCTTACCGAACGCTCCTTTGTGGCCGAGTCGGTTAAGGCACGTCAACGTAAATGACGGTTCCGTATAGGATGCAGGTTCGAATCCTGTCAAAGGACGAATATTTTCTATGAAAATTTCTCGGACATTCAGGCCGGTAAATGTTATTTAATACTGTTTATTATAAACAGAGCATTTACTTAAATACTTGTATCTATAAAAACAATGTTAAACATAAAAATGTCTTTTATATATATATATATATATATATATATATATATATATATATATCTATCTGATTAAATAAATATATATATATATATATATATATATATATATCTGATTTAAATAAATTACAGACAATATGTCTGCTAATCTTTAACAAAATTTGTTCATACTCACAAATAACCTTCTGTGTATTGATGTTAAAGGATTAGAGAAATGTGCTATAGATGTTTAAATTTCGTTTTTTCATTTCCCAAGTACTTTTGATATTCTTCCAAGATCATCTTCAAGAGTGCAAGTAGTACAAAACTATATGTTGTTCATTAGTATTTATACAAAGTTGTGCATTGTTATCAATTACCGTAATTTTTTCATTATGCTTTTAAATGCAAAACGCTTGACAGTGTGATAAATACTTGTACTAAGGAACAACATATAATTTTGTACTACTTGCACCCCTGAAGATCAAAAGGACTTTGGAAATGAAAATAAAAAAAATGTAAATAGCTATAGCCCATTTCTCTCATACTTTAATGCGCATAAACAGATTTTGTTAAAAATT